TTTCAGCCTGCATCTTTCTTTTATCTCGAGCATTCAGGCTCGAGACGTCTTTCTCCTCGGGAGGAGGATCGAGGGGGTGAGTCTGACCGTCTTTAATGGCGAGCCCCGCTTTATGAATGCGTTGGAGGGTGAAGGAATTCCAATTTGTTTCACCCTCAGAAACGATTCGAAAGAAGGACAAGAAGTCAACAGTTGGGCGGGGGATCGTCTAATTCCCTGAAATAAAGTGTTGGGTTAAGAATTCTATCTCTTTTACATAATATAGTGGAAAGTAATAAAGGTTGGATTTTTAACCAAGTTTAGCCGACCAATTGGCGAGAAGAAGACCGGAAAGACCTTGAACGGAATGGGGACTGACTCGGAAAAAGAACCAGTATTTCCTCCAAGGCCCATCATTCGAGGGAATTTCGTCGATCAGGTTACGGTCAAGGATAGGGTTTATAGAAAAAATACCCGCTGCCGCGGATTCACGGGCTCGAAATAGCCCTAAGAGTTCGCTGGTGGTGAGGGAAAACCCTGCTTCTGCCGAAACAGTCAGGGTGCTCAGATTGTATCGAAGAAAGTTGGGAGCCATTTGGGGAAAGGCAATCCCTAGGTGGAGGAGGTATAAAAGAAGAACTTCCGGTACGGGAAAAAACAAACCACAACCTTTGAAATAGACTTCGTACGCACAACAGTAACCCTCTCGCACCACTTCCGGAGACTCGTTGGGTCTAGGAAAAGAGAATTCGATTTCCTGGGGGATGTTACAAAGGCGGCGAAGAGCGCAAAGGGAAGCAGAGGTCGATTGAGACCTGAAATGCGGACCAAATTTGTCTCCCCTTTGGGTGAAGACTTCGTCCCCTCTGGGAACAGGGATTCCTTGACTGTCATCTTCGTTGTCCGAAACATAGACGGCTGGGGAAGACATCTTTTACTAAGAGGTTTCTCTTTTTCTGGTTTGGTAAAAGCTTTAAGAGGTAAAAGTACGCTGCTATAAAAGCCGTCGTTCCATTTAACCTTATTTAGCAGAAAACCGCCTCGAGAATATTGGGAAGTGGGACGGTTTTCCCCGCAGTATTAATATAAAATTAGAAAATTAATGATGACGGTTGTCAGGGATATCAAATCATTTGATTATCCGAGATCGGCGTAATAGCGTGAAACATGGAATAATTCTGGAATGTTAAAGATCTCGAGTCATTAATTACTGTTTACTTAAGTCTTCCAAGCCGAGCACTCAACTCGCAAGACTTGGGGGGCTAAATGTTGGGGTCGGATCCCACACATTTTTGGTAGGATCCACTTGAATCTATCCACGTCATTATTACATAATAATCCTCTTGGAGTTAAAGATATTTTATTATGAGAATCAAGCTTGACCAGTCGGGAGTTCGATTCGGTTTACTAAAAGAGTTCGATCTTTACCAGTACGGAGTTCGCTCTTATTCAACATACAGTTGGCATAGAGAAAGGCCGAAGCGAGGAGAATATTGTTCGAGGTTTGCGGCAGCGTCAAGACGCGGGAGTTCGGAGTCAACAAGAAAGAGTTCGGAAGATCCGCGCGAAGCCCAAGATAGTTCAAATTCAAGCCGTTTCGGTCAAAATGTAATTTACATGATTAATGCGGATCAAAGCAATTATGAGCAGTAAATGACCGCATTGATCATGTTTTCCCTATAAAAACAACCTCAAACGCATGTGTTTGGGGGAGATCGGATTATTGATTACTTCTGAGCAATACAATACATTTTTCTCTCTTTACTATCTTTCGCAAGGCATTTTGTACTTCGTCCTTATCAATTTTTCCTCATTTCTTTTCTTGGTTGATTTCCTTTTCAAATTCTCATATTCATTTCTTGATTTTACAAGAGTTTTTCTCCACAAAAATACTTAAAGATAATCGAGTGTGAATCCTACATCCACAATTGTGAATGAATTTTTATAGCGCAACAACAATAAATTTAGAAAAACGAATTTGAAAAAAAAATCATATATTATTTTTTTTTGTTTCTTACTGTTTTAATATAACGATTAAAAAAAATTAAGTTGAATTTATTAATATTAGGGTTTATTTTACCACTTATGAAAATGTGAGGGTTTAAAATTCTACAAAAAAATTTGAGGGGTTTTTACATGTTTTTAAGAAAGGTGAAGGTTTTTTACCCATTTTTCCATAGATTAGAGTCAAAACCACCTATATTATAGAGTTCCTCTATTTAAAAGGCAAAAATTGAGAAATGCATTGAAGATAGTCTTAAGGGTATGACTTATCAAAGATAATAATTCTCCTAATAGAAGGAACTTGCCTGAGTTTGAATGATGAAAACTATATAGGTCATAAAATTTAGGAACTTGTGGCTTATTGTGTGAAGTTTCTAAATCCTGGAGATCAATTGATGGTCTGAATTGAGAAAATATGTTGTTTGGTAATCAAAACCAAGAAAATCTCATGTTACCACTTTTTAGCATAGAGAATACTTCTATACAAGTTCAATCCTCTTTATTTATGGATTGTTCTTCATCTTTAGCTCATTTTAAGATGTTTTCTACGTATTTTTTGCACTTCAATGTTAGAATCAAAACGTAAGAATCGAGATTTTGAGATGATTGTTAGGTTATATTGTGTTCATCTCTTCTCATTACTCTTCTACTTGCATAGACAAACCAACCATCAACTTGGTTGCCCTCGTATTGATCTTTGACTAATAATATCACGTACATTAGTATCTTGTTTCGACACTAATAGATTTCGATTTGATTAAGAGAAAAAAAAACCATTGTTTAAGCAAATTTAAATAAAACACACAATATATGAAAACAATTGAATCTCATGCCTAGTAGCCCACTTCGTTGCACCACCAAAAGAACAAGCTATAAGTGTTGTCCCCAAAATACATGTTATGCAATTGGAAGAGAGAATAGCACGTGTTATGGGAGGAGAATTGCGGGGTTATTAGTTAATGGATTTATAAAGAATTAGAAATTCAAACAAAAATCATTTGTTATTCAATTATTGATTTTAAAATCCTAATTAAAATCATGTGTTATTGGTTCTATGATTTATAAATACTAGTCAAAATCCTATGATATTCGTTTAGTCATTTGTTTTTGGATTTGAGAATCCTAGTTATGTTTTAAATAGATTTGTATGGAATTGAAGAGAAAATAGAAGGATTCAAATTCAAGGGTTAACACATGTTATTTAAAATCTATATATCTTGATTTCATAATTAATAGAGATTTCCAAATCATATATGGATTTACAAATTAATAAACTAATAAATATCCGCCGACCTTTGCTGCTTGAGTCTTTCTAATAATAGTGAATCAAACAATTGCCAAGAAAATAATCCGAATGTCGATTATTCAATTTCTCACGAATATCTTTTTTCCTTTTTTTTCTCACGAATATCTTAATGCAATAATCTCTTATCCTTTCAATATACCAAAATTCCAACGAAATAAGTCGGAGGAGAACCCACATCTAAAACATAAAGGAAACTGCCTAAAATGACAACACCAGAATTAGGAGCGCAAAGATTATTGAAAGAGAAACAAGAAACATATCACTAAAGGGGGTGTATTGGACTTAGTATTTGGGAAGATTTTGTGAATTTTAGATTTGGGGAGGTTTTGAAATGTTTTTGCTGATTTGGATAATTTTTAGGAGATTTTTAGAAGGTTTTTAAAATAAAATAATGGTCATTTGGTGGGATTTGAAGTGAAATTTCATTAGATATTGGAGAATATGGTGTGATATATCAAAATTATTTTTGGTAACAAATCAAAGACGTTTTTTTTCTTTCTCTTTGTCCATATATATCATTGTTCTTAAAGATCACTTGTTTACCCCAACAACTCGAAAATAAAATTGTTGGTAAAGAATAAGAAGAATCATCATCATGTTCATATCGATAGATTCATATGCTACTTCTCAAAATTGGAGCCTTGTTATGTAGATATAGGCATATTACCAAGTTGAAAAGTTTTGGAAATTATCATTGGAAGAAGCTAGACATAAGACACTCCACGGGAAGAAGATAATGCAAGTCCAAGCAACAAGACAGCTGAGGAAGTGGAGACTAATATCATATTAGATGACGATGTTATTGTGATAGGTGACGTGTTGTATGCTAATGTTGAGAGAGTGGGTGATGCAGCTGTGGTCTCGTTTCTCACAAGAGTACAAGACTTTCATTGAACCAAAATATTTAGAAGCATGGCTATAGTTTTGTGAATGAATAATTGGAGCTGCACATTAGTGAATTCCATTGACAAAGTTATTATAGAGTCCAAAGTCGAACGTTTTCAAAAGTGAATCTTCCTCTTTACTAACAAACAGAAAATTCTCAGGAATGATCAGGTCTCGATACATAACTCCAGAGAGTGATATGAGGTCTCTGCGTGGCTTTGAATTTCGACATGGAGAACTTTTGGTTAGATTCAGAGAAATCAGCTTCTAATTTCGTTTCTTCTTCTCCAAAGACCATTGAAGATAAATCAAAGCCAGATTAACCACCGGATTAATCTCGTCATAGATGCTTTTGGATGAACCAAAGTGCAGAGTCTTCATTAATTTTCATTCTTAAATTTTTATAAAACCAAAGAAAACAGAGAGGAAAGAGGAAGATTGAAGCTTTGATTTGAGTTACAAAGAGAGATGATAATCAACAAAAATATTTTTACCGTTTTTCCGACGCTGAAGAGTAGAAGAAGAAGGATGAAAATATTGGAAATCCCCCAAAGTTACACCTCTAGAGGTGATGTAGGCTTTTCTAGTTTTAAAATTGTTAAATATTAATACTAAACTTAAATCAAAGAAGTATCCTTATCACAGGTTGACCGGTCAAACGGAACAGTTCTTGGACGTGAAAACATTGACAGAAACCAAAACTAACGTTGAAGTTTTGAGACCACAAATAAACCCGTTTGAGCAAAGCGGGTAAAGTAAATCCGGCCCGTTAAAGCCCATTTAAACCAACACAAAAATACAATTAGAACCGGAGACTTCACGGATAGGGTAAAAAAAAACTCAGAGGTTAATCGGAAAAATAAGAAGCTTCTCCTCAATCATGTCTAACTTCATTTTTCAACTTTGGTGACAGCTAAAGAATAGTAAGTTAGAAGATATTTAGTATCTTTCTTCTTCAACTGAATCGCGAACAAGCCACCACCACTCGGATCTCTCTAATCGCCGATCGGAATCCGCCATGGGAGTACCGGCGTTCTACAGATGGCTCGCCGACCGATACCCGAAGTCAATTAGTGACGTCGTTGAAGAAGAACCTACCGATGGAGGTCGTGGTGTCCTAATTCCTGTTGATATCACCAGACCTAACCCTAACGGCTTCGAGTTTGATAATTTGTATCTTGATATGAATGGTATCATTCATCCTTGTTTCCATCCTGAAGGAAAGGTATGTAATAGCTTGGAAATGTTTTGGTTTAGGGTTTGAGTTGATTTGTATTAGGTAGTACTAGTATTTATGGATTTGTTTGCTTTATGAGAAATGCAATTACTTGAGTTTAGGTATTTTGGTGGAGAAGATGATTGTTGTGGTTTGTGTTCATAATTTAGTACAGTTATGGGAGAGGGAGAAGTATACTAGTTGTTGCTTTTCGTCGATTTTGCTTAGGGAAAGTCAATGGAAGCAGTTGCCAACTTGTTGATACTAGATTTAGGGGATCTAGATTAGAGTTTGAGTTGATCGTATTAAGCAGTCACAAGTGGACATGGATTTGTTTGTTGTATCCTTGTATGAGAAATGAAATCACTAAGTTAGGTATTTTGGTTAGAAAATGATTGTTGTTTGTGTTCATAATTTAGCTCATTTATTGGGGAAGGGAGGAGTGTCCTAGTTGTGGCTTTTCGAGTATTTGCTTACAGAAAGTCAATAGAAGCAATGGCCAACTTGGTGATACCAGATTTTGGGATCTAAAGTTCAGTTTAGAAACTGCTTTGGATATATTATTTGGGATATTGAATGGAACTGGCTGTGTGTATTTTGTTCATGTATCACGTATGCGAGTCTATAGTCGGTTTTTTTTTTTAAGTTTTTGACTAGAGAAATAAGAGACAGCGATGTTACTAGTTTTATATTAGAGTTGAGGAGATATTATTATCCATGGGAGTGAGTTTGCGTAGCAAATATGTGTTATGGTGATACTTGATTTCCATTACAGATTTTACTAGCTAATCATATTTTGATTACAATGCAGCCTGCACCTGCCACGTACGATGATGTATTTAAATCGATGTTTGAGTACATTGACCATCTTTTTACTCTAGTACGTCCGAGGAAGATTCTTTATTTGGCTATAGGTGCTTGTGCCTTCCTTCTTCTTCCCTGTCTGTTTTGCTCTATGAGATTGGATCTGATTAAATATGATGTTACAGATGGAGTTGCGCCCAGAGCAAAGATGAATCAGCAGCGTTCTCGACGTTTCAGGGCTGCAAAGGACGCAGCAGAGGCTGTATGTTCTCTTTATATTTATTTCTATATCACATTTACTCATGGCTTTGCATGGGTCACTGTTACTTATAATATATCTGGTTGTATAGGAAGCTGAAGAAGAGAGGTTGAGAAAAGATTTTGAGATGGAGGGCCAAATCTTGTCTGCGAAAGAGAAAGCTGAAACCTGTGATTCAAATGTCATTACTCCTGGGACCCCTTTTATGGCTATACTGTCAGTCGCTCTTCAGTATTACATCCAATCTAGGTTAAACCATAACCCTGGCTGGAGATATGTTAAGGTGATACTCTTCATCTAACTTAGCCGCTATTTCCAAACTGTACAAGACTTTTTTGCATTCTTGCAGTTCCTCTTTTTTTATAGCGTTGTCCCTTTACTTATGGTTTTAAAGGTAATTTGTCTCCCTAAGAATTCGTGGATTATTATTTGAAGGTTATTCTTTCTGATTCAAATGTTCCGGGCGAAGGAGAACACAAGATAATGTCATACATTCGTCTCCAACGTAATCTTCCTGGTTTTGATCCAAATACACGGCATTGTCTATACGGTCTGGTTAGTGTCAACCCACAGTGTTGTTGTTTTACTTCCTCTTTTCTTAATAAGGTGTTGGTGCTTCTTCCAAAAAATTGCACATTACATTTGCCAAGAACTGTATATAATTTTGCAGGATGCAGATTTGATAATGCTCTCCTTAGCTACACATGAAGTTCACTTTTCCATCTTAAGAGAGGTAGCTTATTTCCACCCCTATGCTCTATATTTTCTTTGATATTCAGTGGATCAAATAATGGGTCATCTTACTGATTCCAGGTTATCACTTACCCTGGGCAACAAGAGAAATGCTTTGTGTGTGGACAAACTGGTCACTTTGCTGCAGATTGCCCTGGAAAATCAGGTAGCACAAATGCAGCAGCTGATATTCCAATCCACAAGAAAAAATATCAGGTTTGTAGTTTTCCTTGTTATCTTCATGAGATCTTGCTGCAGTGAACAATAGAAAATTATTTTCTTTTAGTTTTGGAGCTTTCTCTTATTTGTCTGATGTAAATTTTTTTTTTTAATAGTTCCTGAACATTTGGGTGTTGCGAGAATATTTGCAATATGAATTGGCCATTCCAGATCCTCCTTTTATGATCAACTTTGAGAGAATAATAGACGACTTTGTATTCCTTTGCTTCTTTGTTGGCAATGACTTCCTACCTCATATGCCTACCCTGGAAATTCGAGAGGTATGTACATGAGGAAAGCTTTCTATTGCTTTAAAGATTGGCTGTTCATAAAAATGATGGTTGTGTAGACTGTAAAATATAGTAATAGCCTTGTGGAAGATAAATATCCTATTTCATGCTCTACAATGCCATTGAGGCAATGAGAAAATAGTCTGTAGCGAACAAAAAACAACAAAGTCTGTAGCTTAAACATTGTAAATCTTTATACTCAGTTCTTTGTTACTTCAGGGGGCTATAAACTTGCTGATGCATGTTTACAGAAAGGAGTTTACAGCTATGGGAGGCTATCTAACAGATTCTGGTGAGGTAAGTTATTGGTCTTTTTTTTAATCTTCTCCCATACTTCATTCTTGCTTCACATTGCTTAATACCCTATTTTGTATGAGCTGTAGAAATGGTCAGTTATCTTGTGGAAACTATTCTCTTCAATTGATTCACTTCTATTTTGTCTTGCTATATGATTACAAATGAAAATCTGAACTGCATTATATCCGTGGGCTTCGTTTTTTTACCATTAACAATCTTCTCTTTTTCTGCATTAATAGGTTCTACTAGATAGGGTAGAGCATTTCATTCAAGCTGTCGCTGTAAATGAAGATAAAATATTTCAGAAAAGAACGCGGATAAAACAGGTATTCCTGACCTATGCCTTATTTTCCCTTACACAACCATTAGGAGGCTTTAGGGACTGAGGTTGCTCACACCCTTGTGAGGCTAATGGTGTGCTGATGTTGGTATTAGTCAATGGATAACAATGAAGAAATGAAACAAAGATCAAGAAGAGACCCATCTGAGGTACCACCTGAACCGATAGACGATAAGGTAAAATACTTTACGGCAAAGCAATCTTACATGTGCTTGTGAGCTGGAGAGATTCTTATATCTTTATAGACAAGGAAATTAGTTTAGGAGGTACGACTAAAATTGCTCTTTCATTTTGGGTAGATTAAATTAGGAGAACCAGGCTACAAAGAGAGGTATTATGCTGAGAAATTTAATACGACCAATCCAGAAGAAACTGAGCAAATCAAACAAGACATGGTGAGTCTTACTTCAGTTAACTCTCTCTGTCACCCTTCTGAATCTCTGATGATTTGTTATAATAAGTCTAAAGTTGGAAAAAGGCTTCTTTAGGCCATGTGCTACTTTGGTTCTGTGTGCATTTAGACTCTTAACATCCTATTAACTCTCTCATGTTGAAAATTTCTGACCACCAAATTTAGCACTTAAGATTTGCACTGTTCTTTTTATAATTGCGCGATATGAACTACTTTCTTGAAATGACTCCCGACACAGTTTTGGATGAACCTTAACTTGTAATCAAGTCTGATCACTGATGACCTATTTTCCTTGTAGGTACTAAAATATGTTGAAGGTTTGTGCTGGGTTTGCCGGTACTACTACCAAGGTGTATGCTCTTGGCAATGGTAAGTCTAACTTTACAAAAAGTTCACAATTAGAAATTTAGAATGTCAGGTTATTCTCATGAGAGCTATGCATTCTAACAAATACTGGAATATCTTATTTTATAGTAGACTGATGGGTCTCTTCTCAGGAAAGACCTTGATGCTAATGTCACTTACTGAAAATTACTAAGTTGCAAATTTTAAATGTAAATCTGTGTTTTCTAACTGTTTCTTCTAATTGTTTCAGGTTTTACCCATACCATTATGCTCCATTTGCTTCAGATCTTAAGAATCTACCTGATTTGGAAATCACATTTTTTATTGGAGAGCCCTTTAAACCTTTAGACCAGTTAATGGGAACCCTGCCGGCTGCAAGGTTCTTCACTTTTGTTGAACCATTATTATAAATATTTGGGCGCCTGTGGTGATGTAAATTATGCTTCTTGGTTGTTGCAGCTCAAATGCTCTGCCTGGAGAATACCGGAAGTTAATGACTGATCCCTCATCCCCGATCCTGAAATTTTACCCTGCTGGTAATTGTTGGTGGTGAATATATATGTATTGTTGTTTTCCTATGTATTATGCTGGATAGTGGACACTCATAAGCTCTCATTCTGTTTATAGATTTTGATATTGACATGAATGGAAAGCGCTTCGCCTGGCAGGTTCATGCTTTTCTGTGTTCTGTGGTTATAATGATAGTGTTATCATGCCGAGACTGTTTATTCTGTTCTTCAGCTATTGATGTTGTGTGTTTTCAATTTGATGTGATCCAGGGTATTGCAAAACTTCCTTTCATTGAGGAGAAACTATTGTTAGCTGCTACAAGGAAGCTTGAAGAAACGCTAACGGTTTGAACTGAAGCTTTACTCGAATTACATATGCATATTGTTTTGGTCAAAACTTCATTCTCTCCAAGGAAACTATAATTAAGAATGTTTTTTTTGTTAGTTATAAAGTAGCTTTACAGCTTAGATTGCTCTAGCAATCAGTTTTCATTGCAGCGTGCGGTGACTAGAATTGAAAGTGATTAATTACAGTATGGATCCATCTTGCAGGTGGAAGAACGGCAACGCAACAGTGTGATGCTTGATTTGTTATACGTACACCCCGCTCATCCTCTGGGCCAGCGGATCCTGCAGTACTACCATATCTACCAGCACTTGCCACCACATGAATGTCTTCCATGGATGATTGACCCGAATTCTAGGTTAGCTTTGATTGGCTAAATTGATAATTAACAAGCCGTGTGGAATCTGGATATCGATCTTGTTCTTAATCCTCAATTCTTTTGTGTTTGTTGCAGCCAAGGAATGAACGGTTTTCTTTGGTTTAGTGAAAGGAATGGGTTCCAAACTAGAGTGGATTCCCCTGTTAATGGTTTGCCATGCATTGAGCAGAACCGAGCCTTGTTCGTTTCTTGTGCTTCTTGTGCTTCACAAGTTATTGTTTTATGAAATTGATGAAGTCTTGATTTACTCACTTAGATTTTCCTCTACATTTTCCAGAAATGTTACATACCTGTGTCCTGCCAAACACTCTCATATCTCAGAACCACCAAGAGGAGCGATCATTCCGGACAAGGTATGGTTCCCCAAAGGAATTCTTCATGAATAGTAGTCCATCTCTGGCATTAAAAGAAAAAGAAACTTAGGGTTTTTTTATTAGTGTATAGGAGAATGTCAAATGTCAATGTTTTCTTATCTGCTGAATATTTCATTGCAAAACAAGTGTTCTTATGGAAGTTCAATTGGCAGATCTTGACGTCAGCAGATATAAAACCATTTCCTCTTTTATGGCATGAAGACAATAGCAACCGACGCCGACAAGCCCGAGATAGGTAAGGAGATTATACTACAGACTGATACTTTGAAGACCATATTGTGAAGTATGTTAAAAGAACCATATGATATATCTATTGTGCAGGCCACAAGTAGCTGGAGCTATAGCTGGGCCTTCGCTGGGAGAAGCAGCTCATCGTCTGATCAAAAACACCCTTAACATGAAATCCTCTACTGGTGCGGCTTCAGGATTAATTGACCCAAACGGATACTACCGAAATGTACCGGGTAATCATTATTATGGTGGAGTCAATAGACCAAGAGCACCGGGTCCCTCTCCATACAGGAAAGCTTATGATGATGACTCGAGCTATTACTACTATGGAAAGTATAACAATAGCTCACAGGGAACGTTTAGCAACGGTCCAAGGTATCCTGGTCCATCAAATGGATCACAAGACTATAACCGGAACTACAACTCCAAGATAGTAGCAGAACAGCAGAACCGTGGTGGACTTAGAGCTGGAATATCTGGTTTATCGATAGAAGATAACGGCAGAAGCAAACAATTGTATTCAAGTTATACAGAAGCTGCTAATGCAAATTTGAACCGGTTGCCTTCACCGCCCACCCAATGGATCGGTACACAGCCAGGTGGTAATTTTGTCGGTGGATACTATAGGGAAGGAGTTGGGTATGGCGAAACAAATGGAAAACCGGTAAAGAAAGTAATTTATCAGGCCAAGACACAACAAAGTCATCGAGGCACAAACGAATGAGATTTTAGTTGAGGCAATGGAGGTTTCTCTGTACAGGTACGATGCAACGTTCCGCAGCATTTTCTGCCATCAGTTTTCTTAAATTTCTGGCTAAAGGCAAATGTACAATGTACCTTTTGGACATTTCTTTTGTTATATATATATATTTATTTACATTAAACTTGTTTTAGAGTCTTTAGACAGCTTTTGGCAATTTGATATTGGACTCTCTCTTCCTTCTTCTACAGCATTTCTCTATTGGTTTCCGGATCTGAGTAAGAATATATCTACCACTGGAGTAAGTAACATTGATAGACTAAGGTTCTTCTGACCAGGCTTTTCGATAGAATGGATGGTAGAATCATATTGATGAGAATAATGGTGTATTGAAACATTATAAAAATTGGTATCATCGTTAACATAATTATTGGATGAAATAGCCGCTCAAAAAAAGCATGAAGAAGAGTAAGAGAGAGCCAAAGATTAATCCAGTCTTCTGACCAGAAGTAAGAGCATTGCCACCAAGTCCATATTGCTGATTCTGAGCAAAACCAGCAATCTCAACCATTTTACTCTCAAAGAAACTCTGAGCAGCTCCACACGTTGGACATCTCCAATCTTCAGGCAACTTATCAAACTGAAAACCTGGTGGGATCGGGTACGATGGGTCACCCGCTGATTCATCGTACTTGTAACCACATGATCTACACTCATAGATCCCAGTGTTTAGAACTGCAAACTTCTCCTCCATTCTTCGTTTCTCTATAGTGTCTTCCACTTCTTGGGTCTCTGTTTCTTGGGTTTGGTCGGATGAAGCAAGAGGCGTCGTGGCATCGTCTCTTGAGACAGCGAGGTAACGAGAATGGTGAGTTGGGTAAGAGATGGTGATGAAGAGGTGGTGGTGAAGATGGTGTAGTTTCTTGCCATATCTGAGAAACGGTGTCGGTTTGATGAGAGAATAATGGGAATGGGATTGAGAGAGAGGGCAGAAGGAGAAGGTAGCACTCGCCATGATTGTCTTTACTTCTTATAATTTCTGAGTTTGGTCATTGTTAGAGAAGAAGGATCCATCGGAGACGAGAGGTACGAAGGAGACTTATGCTTGGATAAGATTTTTGAAAAGCATTGTGACAACCACGTGGCCTTTTTTCATTCAATATATCTTATTTCTTTACTTACCCCCAAAAACTTTTATCGGATATAAATTGTATTTTGTTAAAAAAAATTAGGGATTTTAGCGAAAAAAAAATTTCAAGTATTGGCATATCCATTTTAAAAATTTTAACTAAAACAAAAGTATCAGCATATCCATTTTTTTTATAATTTGTAAATATCATTAAGGAATGAAAGTTGAGGCTTACAAGAAGTTAGACCTAGATAATTACTACCTTGCCCAAAGAAAGATAAAAAACAAAAAAGTATTTTTTTTTTTTTTCGACATCTTTGGATCGACAAGGTCCGATCCATAGCCAATCCCTACTACGCGGGATAACGCGACTTAGTGGAGTCGAACTCCGGTGGTGAAGGCGGAGTCGAATGGACTTAACCACTTGACTAAAGGCACATCCCCAAACAAACAAACAAAGAAGTATAAACAAGAGAATTATGAGATTCTTTATCGGAGCCACAATTGAATCAGTCCGGAGAAGTTGCGTCTGTGTATTCTTGCTGAAATCGAGTAACGAACTAGTTTGTCAATTTCCTTGAAAACTGTCGAGGCTGGAATGACTTGGAGGTTGTGAACCATGTTGTTTCTCTGTTTCCATATGCCGTAGACAATGGCCTGAGTCGCGAGTTTCCGCAGCAGAGTTGGGGCTCTAGCAGAATCAAGCTTTAATCAGTCTGTTAACGCAGTCCAAGATTGGAACAACATGGGATTGAGATCAAGTCTTGACAAAACCTGATTCCACACCGTAATAACATAAGAAAAATCTAGAAATATGTGATCCTGCGACTCATCATGCGAATTGCATAAGCAACAAGTAGTATAAATCATCATCCCCCAAGAAGCCAAGCGAGTTTTTGTGGGTAATCTGTCTAGCTGGGCGATCCACATCATGAAAGCGTGTTTTGGAGTGGCGCCTTTAAACCAAACACACGTATGCCATTGTGTAATTGTTTAGATACATTTTATTTTATTGCATATATATATATATATATTTTTTTTTTTCCGTTAAAATTAAATTTAGGATTAACATTGCTAGACTACACCAATTTTTACCACCAAAACTCATTCTTCACAAACTAACGAGGGGGTGTTAATAATCAATCATGAATCATGAATTTAAATTCAACTCTCAAAGTCTTACAATTTTAAGATTTAAAATTTGATATCATTTTTAAGAAACTATTTGTGTGAATTCCGATATCTCAATATCAGATTCAGATTATCCCTAACACCAAATTATAAAGCCTGATTTAGTATCATTAATTGAATAACAACGAACATTGGTTGGATTTCAATTCTATTAAAATTTATGATTGAATAAATTTTCAGTTGTTATACTACACAAACTTTCAGGCTCATTTGATTTCAACTAATACGTTTAACTATGACATTTTAAAAAAAATATATAATAGTTCCAATTTTCAATTATCTTTTCAGGGCTTTTGTTTTCGTGAATGTCAAAAAAATTTGATGGCAAAAAGAAAACCTCGATTAATAAAGGATTTTGTGCAAAAAAACTTCCAGCTCACCAATTTTTGCAACTTTATCCTTCACCTCAAAAATACAGATTAATCATACGAATTCAAATATAATACGCAATATAACCCTTATACTAAACGTTTTCATGGTCACATACATTAGCTTTTTAAAATTCTAAAGGTAGAGTTGAACTCATCGTCTTGAGGCCTTCTATTTGACATGTTATTCCTCAAAATTTTACAAACTTGACAGTAGCAAAAAAAAAAAGTTACATTACGCATTATTTTTTATTTCATATGATTAATCTGCATTTTTTTGGAAGTGGATGGTAAAGTTGCAAAATTAGCGAGTTAGAGGTTTTGTGATAAACCAGTAAACTGGCCCAAAATTTCTCACAATACATTATAAATTACACAATCCATTTTGTATGGAAATATGAAAAAGTTAAAACCAAAGAAAATAGCCAGATGAATTGTGAATTCACACCATAGCAAGGAAAATGTGGATTAGTGATTACCACAGCAGGGAAAACAAATATAGAGATTGGAAACTTTTTTGAAGTCTATATTAATACAAGTTATAAAACGTGTCAACACTAAGTGTACAAATTACATATGCAAAGCTACTGGTTCGGCTCAAGCAAAGACCATCCTACTAATACTGTTACTCATCTTTTAAAAGTGTCAGCAATCAAACCTAAACCAACTCTACAAAAGCATATCCCAGCTAAAACCGAACTAAACCGAACGTTAAGACAAAGTGAAGCCTGTCAGAGGAAACCCACAGGTGGTATCTCTCTAGAAACATTTAGATTTACCATTTTCGACTTTTCACGATTCTCCTTCAAGCTCTTTGCGATCCATATCGCGGTTTCTCTGGGAGACACCTTACCAGGGCCAAAAGGCTTCAGCAACACGTTGAGTTCATCATATCTCCCTTCTTGTAATAATCTGGCACTAAACTCAAGCAACCCTTCCAAAGCATCAGCCCGTTGACGATACGATGATGGGTCAAACCGACATCTTCTTGTAGTAGAGGATGTGGTCTGGCTTGATGCACCAGCAGTTGCATTCTGATCAGATGATGATGACCCGTCGCTTATGTTGTCTACCATATTGAGTTGGATTCCCTGCCAAGTCGTATGAGTTTGAACTGTGCATTTGTCTTTTGTTACAGAGCGGTCTGAGACAGAGGAGCTTTTGGACGATGTTTTCCTTTGCATGGGAGTAAAGAAGATGTCTTGTTCATATGGAGCTAATGGGAAAATGGCAATCTTATCAACTTGTGGCTCATTAATGGAATATTCTGGAGACTTCACATTCTGCAAGATTCCAACTGTTCGGTTGTAAGCTGCAGCTTCTTGGTTTGTAGCCCTTTTCGTCAGTGGTAGAGAAGTCCGGCGAGCTGATGGAATTATCTTGCTGGTAGTACCACCACCTGAAACCGGATGCTGAACACCGAGCAATAGGCAACCATGATCATTAGTGTTTAAGGTATCAGTTCTACAAGACAATGCATAGAAGGTCCAGAGATAGCTATCAAGTAAAGCTTTTTGGTGTTTGGAAACATGAGACATGTAGAGAAATATAACAGAAGAGGATTTTCTGGTAATGATATTGGCAGCCATGTAACACCAACTGTGAGTTTATAACGATCATTTTGTCGCAGCGTTTTTTTTCCAATGGAAATCTGTGTTATTTTTGGTCACTGATTCTAAGATAACAAAAAGGAGTGAGTAATTACCAAGTGTTCGAATCTCCTTCCAGTTTCCATGATTCTTCTGGATGTCACTGAAGATTTTGCAAGAGGATACTTTGAGACCTTAGAAGCACTTGAAGCAACTTGCTTACATATCACTGTTCTTTTACTGCTGCTCTCAATTGATAAATCTGAAATTCTGCGACTTATACATTTGATAGAAGATGCAGTGTCTTCTTCAGCTTCGGGATTCAAAGCTCTGTCATTCCATAGAGAACTATGTTGTCGTTCTCCAAAGGCTGGACAAGTGACAGCGGGTTCAGAAAAATGAGCTCTCTTCATAATTCTCTTAGAATCTGGCCATTGAGGCGGTAATGTTTTGCGCCTCAGGTTATTGAGCCTGAGTTTGACATCCAGAACATAAGGCTGAAGATGTGGACGTCTAAGTAAATCTGAGGCCTGTGATAATTTTATACTTCTCATAGTTAACAAACATTTCCAATTAAGTATATCAACTAACTAGCTAAGGTTATACATACAGATGGCCGAACTTCTGGGTTTTTTCGCAGCATGCTTTTGACAAGACTTCGGCTGAAAAAAGGTTTAGAAAATAGCAATGTAAACAAACCAAGATATATATGAAGGTATAAGCAAGACAAAACTCGAAACTTACAATGAACCAGAATATTTTGCAGGGAGCGGAGCCACAATCGTCTTGTTTATCTTATTAATCAGTGCTTGCATATCCTAACAAATATATTTTAATAAGTATCATGATGAAAATGCATCAAAGATGGATATGTTTCTAGTACATAACTTACAAATGCTTTAAATGCCGGCTTAAGATAAGCCATTTCATATATACAGCATCCTGCAGTAAGAAATTTATGTGTCGGTAAG